AAAAAGAATCCGCCTGCCAATGCAGGGAACACGGGTTTGATCCCTGGTGCAGGAAGATCCCACATGTCGCGGAGCAACTAAGCCCGTGCGCCACAACTACTGAGCCTGTGCTCTAGGGCCCGCGAGCCACAACTACTGAGCCTGTGTGCCTAGAGCCCGTGCTCTGCAACAAGAGAAGCCACTGCAATGGGAAACCCACGCACCACAACAAAGAGTACCCCCACTCGCCACAGCTAGAGAAAGCTCAGGTGCAGCAACGAAGACCCAACGCAGCCAAAAATTAAAAAGAAAAAAACCAAACCAGAAAAAACAAACAAACAAACAAAGGAAGCAAATAAATCTCAAAAAAAAGAAAAAAAAAAAAAGAATAAACAGCCCAATCCAACAGCATCCTGCATCCCAGCCCGGTTTCCTCTGATGCCAGCCCTGGCCAGTGTGGGGTGGTGACAGACACCACTGCCCTTCACAGACTTTCTCCTGGACCCGCATCCAAAGGCCTGGCAGAGAACGGAGGAAGCGACAAGTAGGTGTGAGTGGCCGGCACGTGGGGGCCCTGAGCAAGCCCATTCCACGGATGGGTGAACTGAGGTGGCGGGCAGAGCGTCACCACTGCTGTCCACCTCGTCTGCCCTTGCGGCCTCCAGGATTTCCACAGGGGGAGGATGGGTGTGGGGGTGCAGCTTGGCCACTGTTGTCTGGGCCTCGGTCTCCTCCTCTGGGATACAGGTGACCCCAGAGCATCTCTGAGGGTGTGGCGAGGTCTCAGCGGGGGGCTGGGTGCCCTGGGCGCCCCTCGTCTGCAAACTGGACGCCAGCGCCACCCTTCCTGCAGGGGAACGTCAAAGGAGATGGAGAGAGGTATGCAGCCCTTCATCCCATGAGTGTTTATTGAGTGCCTGCTGTGTGCGGGCACTGCATGAGTGCAAGGGGGGGCAGGGGACACAGCAGCAGGAGGACACAGACCCCTGCCCTGGTGGAGAGACAGTGACTTGACATCGTCTGCAGCAGAATTAAGTGGGGAAAGGGTGACCGGAGTCGGCAAGAAGCACAGGGAGGGGGTAGGATTTTAGGGCAAGAAGGAAACCCAGGAACCCTGGTAGAGTGAGGAGGGGAATCCAGGAGGAGCGCCCAGCGGGTGGGTGCGGAGAAGGTGTCTGGACAGCCCAGCAGGGTGTGCGGCAGGGGCAGGGGAAGGAAGGGTGCTTTCAGTGTTCACCTGGGCCTTGAGAGCCAGACTGCAGGGCACTGGGGAGCCATAGAAGGTGCTTGAGCAGGGCAGGTGGGGGCAGATCCTCTGGTGAGAGTGGAGAAGAGAGAAGAGGTGGGGAGATGGCGAGGCTGTGGTTGAGCTGGAGTGGGGGACACAAGGCCTGAGCTAGAGTCAGGGCTGGGAGAGGTGAGGGGGGTTGCGACTCAGGGACAGGGGAGGAGTGGGCTCTTGGGGCCCACACAGAGCCCAGTGTCAGACCCCCCTGGAGTCCAAGCGCCCAGAGGATGTCCGGGAGCAGCCGGAGCTGCTGTAAGTAAAGGTTTTTTGTTTTTTTTTAATAAATTTTATTTATTTTATATTTACTTTTCACTGCGTTGGGTCTTGGTTGCTGCGCGCGGGCTTTCTCTAGTTGCAGTGAGCAGGGGCTACTCTTCGTTGCGGTGCGCGGGCTTCTCACTGCGGTGGCTTCTCTTGTTGCAGAGCACGGGATCTAGGCACGCGGGCTTCAGTGGTTGCAGCACGCGGGCTCAGTAGTTGCGGCTCGCGGGTTCTAGAACGCAGGCTCAGTAGTTCTGGCGCACGGGCTTAATTGGTCCGCGGCATGTGGGATCTTCCTGCACCAGGGATTGAACCGGTGTCTCCTACATTGGCAGGCGGATTCTTAACCACTGCGCAGGGAAGTCCCTATAACTAAAGTTTTATTGGCACATGGCCACACGATGTGGCCATGTACTGCCTCCGGCCGCTTTTGCACTACAATGGCAGAGCTGAGTCCTTGCCACAGAGAGCAGCCGGCCTGTGATGCTGAAAATGTTTACCATCTGGCCCTTTACAGAAAAAGTTTTGCCAACCCCTGAGTGAGTGTATGCTGGGCCCTGTTTCAAGTACTTCGTGTATGTTCGCTCCGTCAACCCTTCCAGCAGCCCTAGGAGGTAGGGACGTGAGGCTCAGAGAGGTTAAGAAACGGACCCAGCGTCACACAGCACCTACAGAGCTGAGCTGGAACTGGAACTCAGGCCCCCTGATGTTTCTGAGTCTTTTTCTTTGTTCTGTTTGCTAATTTATCTCATTGTTTTCCTGCTAAATGGGTACATGTTCATTGTAAAAGGAGGGTGCAAAGGCCTGTGAGAGGAAAGGCAGCCACGCCCTCCCCCGTCTGGGGTGCATCGTGCCCCATTTTTCTCCAGAGCTCATCCA